AGAGAGAGAGAGAGAGAGAGAGAGAGAGAGAGAGAGAGAGAGAGAGAGAGATCAACTACGTTGATGGAATATTATATTTTTGACAGGATAGACAGCTTTGTGACGATTATTACGGGACATTCTTTCGCGATTATTTTTCACAGTGTTCTCAAAATATCTTGAAATAAATATTATACAAGGAACGTAACGTAGCGTTAATTGTGTGCAAACAAAAATTTGTCTAACGAGGAAAACGCGAACGCTCAATTTTTAATTATAACGGAAACATATCGATTTCCTCGAATCGCGCTCGAGGTGCTTTTTAAAATTCTCGGATAGCTCTACCGAAGGTACACTGGGTTTCAAAATTGTGAGAATGTAACTTCTGAGAATTATATATAATTAAAAACAAGTTCTCTCATGGGACGTATTGGCTGCGTTCCAACGTTGCAAAATGAAATGTTTTAAAACAACATGTTAACACGCCGCTTTGTCAAAACACCGTACTGGCAATTTAAATTGGCGCAGGTACGTGCTTGGGAGATGTGTTGTTTTTGGGATGAATTGCCCGTATAACTTCTGCGAAAAGTCAATGGAAATTAGAAATACGCTGATATTTCCATTTTCCATATAAAAATGCTCGATACACTGAGAGAAACATTAAAATCAACAAATATTTGCTTGATGGGTGCCATTAACATATTTATTTAAATCTACATTCTCTTTATTTAAATATTGTTTACTTAATTTAAATAAATAATATTTGATTTAAATAAAGAGAATGTAGATTTAAGTAAATATGTTAATAGCACCTATCAAGGAAATATTTGATTTTAATATAATTTTCCTCTCAGTATATATATGACGTAATTGTACAATATATTTTTACTTTAACCTCATATTTTAATAGTTTATTTGCTCAATTTTATGTTATTTCCGACTTTTAAACTTTTACTTCCGAGCCACAATGAAACTTTACACACAAAAATTTGGACTTTTTTGTGACATTATTTCTATTAATTATTTTTCTTTTACTGAAGACACAAGGACATGATATATTTCCACAATAGCAGTTTGAATTGCTCCCAAGTAGCAGAATGACGTCAACTGGCGTGTTACTGACATCAGAGAGATGTCATTAATGCATCATCGAAACGTCATTTGACGTCATCACGTTTGCTGAGTGCGCATGTCAAAGTGGCGTGACTTTCAATCAATGTTGCCAATTGTTTGTGCACGCAATATCAGACGAGAGAGAATTTCAAATTTTTTCAAAAATCTTTTCATTATTTCTGAGATATGGGCGTTTTTAACACATTTCAACTTCATTTTCATGCGGTGAAAACGCATTTCGCGAGGAGAGGTGTTCGTTTTGAAACCCGGTGTACACGTGCACCGACTAATCGCACGCGATGTGCAAACATGAGAGCGCAGTTCCGTTCAAATGGATCGCGGAGCATAAGCCTGGGGAAGACCCGTGCAATTACGAGAATAAGGAAGAGGGAACGGAAGAAGGAAGAGAGGAAAGAGCACACAATGAAATAACGAGAACGTAGCGGGAATATCGGGGAAACGTATCGGAGGAATATCAGAGAAGAGACTGGCGACGCCGCGATCTTCTGCGGCAAGATCAAAAGAATTTTTTTCTCGCGACGAGCACCCGGCAAATCCGCAATATCGACGTGAAGACGAGAACGAAGCCGACAACACGCGAATTTGAGGAAAGCTACCCTCCGGGAACACGGCGATCGGGGGAGAAATTCAGATATGAAATCGCCGATATTCAATATATATTGTAACGAACAATAGACGGAAAATCTCCGCTCGAATCGATTATTCGCATGAAAAATCGTTTCGAAACATCCGCCGGGATTAACGTCCGACTAAATCTGAATTAAGCGCAAAAACTCGGCGCCCACTCTCGCACTCGCACACGTCGCACCTGCACGTTTAACAAACAATTGAAACATTCTGCTGTCGGAGATGCACGTGGGAATGTTTTCTTCGTGTCGCACAATGCGAGAAACACTCGCACAGTCTTGTGTAAATTTTGTTTTACTCGCGTCGAAACAGATCTCGGAGGCGAACAGTGCCGAGCAAGAAAGAATGCCGTTCGCAAGTTACGGCGATACGTAATCTTCGAGGCGTAAAATGTCTTTCCCTTTTCTCTGCTAAACTATTACCATACACGTAGGAATATCTAGACGAAGCATATTTCCGCGGGATTGAAGCTTAAGAGGCAAGAAGATTGTGACGGCTATGATCAACCAAGATGGCGGCGACCCAAATGGGGTTGTCCCCATTCTAGTTGCATCTTATTTTCTTCGTTTCGCGGCTTTTCTACTTTTGCTACCTTTCGCGTAACAATCAGACGCATATATTGCAGAAGAAACACATTACTTTTGCTCCACAAATTATTATTTCTGTGTGTTTCATATTTTTATTTCATATACATAATTTCAAAATGCAGCAATGCCTCAGTTAAAATCGCGCGCATGATGTGAAAATATATCGTGTGTGATATATATACTGATTTTGACCAACCAAGATTGTCGGATACTTCCTCTCAACCCTAAAACTTCACAACCCGTGTGAATATGGGTACACTGAAGAAAGGATCTTGCTGTCGGAAGGCAAATTTGGTACATCGCACCAAGATTTGGTTAAACTGGGATCAATCTGTTTGGTAACTGCAAGCAAAAAATTTAATTGCCGTTATGTGTGTTTTGCTTCCTCAGTAATACTTGACACAAGTAAAAACACGGCAGTGCTGATAAAATCGTTTGTACAAAATATTTTAGTTTCAAATACAAAAATAATGTCTTCAATGCACTTTATGCTCGGCCTAGACACTCTCACGTCTATGGTTATCATACGTGTGCTTTTCTCTCCTGATAATTGCGAGCTAACGACGACGACGACAAGTTTGCGCGCGTTTCGCGATCCTTGCGTCTGTGAGACACGTGGAAACTTAATGTACGTCACCCTACCTCATTCCCGATTCCGTGTGTGGCCTCCGGATACGTTTGAGAGCCGACCTTTCCTCAGTGCACATTTCGCGAGTTGCTATTTCTCCATTTTTAGACCTTAAATTGCTCGGTAACCGATACTCGATTTAAGGTCCTGTTAAAAAATTTACTGCGAAACGATCGATACGAAGTGTGCGTCGCAAGTGTGCGACGTCGGTCGCGACTCTGGAACTACGCCTCGACGTTTCAGTTAAGCAACTTCTATTCGAACTTCTTCTATTCGAAAACTTTGCACGGGAAAAATGAGGGATGATTATTCTGAGACATTCTTTGCACAGTAGACTTCCGCAACCGAGATTTTTCTTCTATATTTTGAACCTGCGAATATATTTGATCGTCGGTATGTTTGCAGGATTAACGTAGAGCCAACATTTCGATTCGGATTTGATCAAGTTTCGGCGAGATATTGCCGCATTTTTTATTTGATGAAACTTTGGTCTGTAATAATTCCGAAGTTCTAACTGTGCATTGGAAAAAAGTTTTGTAATAGTTAACAAATACAGTTACTTAAGCGTTTTAGTGCAAGATTTAATAATTAATATCACGCGTAATAATAATTATCAACCGTCTGGTAATTAAAAATAGCTCTTAAATGGACTTTAAATTTCCTCATTTAGTTGAACTAATTGAATAGTTTGATAAGTAAAATAATTTTGTAATAATTGCTAAATAATTTAACTTGTACTAAAATATTTGGTCACTTTGTATGTTTATCGTATAATGTGTTAACTATTACTAAACAACATGGTTTTATTTAACAAATTGTTTCCTGATATGCACCACATAAATTGGTCATCAAGTCTTAAAAACAGATACCAAGCTTTGCTAAGCTTGTTATTTATGTTAATACTTACTAAATTATTTAAAATTATACAATCATTTATATTAATTATATAATTGTTTATATCCACTTACACGCGTTTAGTTGAAACTATTTCACCAAAACATCTGATAAGTATTATCTAGACTTGATGACTGTTATCAAACCTTTTTCTCAGTACATTAGTTTCCATCTTGCATGTCGAGTTAATGGATTATACGAAGGATGATTCGCAGTCGTGTTAATATATCCCGAAAGTATACCACACACATACATACATACACAAGCTAAGAATTATGTATACTTATATAGAGACACTTGAAGAACTTGTAGAAGTTCTTCAGTAACACGTATCTACGGAAGATATATCGAAGCACATTATTTTAGATATTCGGAACTAGATAGGATGCTGATTATAATGTAGTTATGTAGGAACGAATCGATAGAAACGACTCTCCTCCTTGTTCTAAAGCGCTTTAACGGATTTTATTCGTGCCCCAATCTCATGAAATATTCGACCAAACCGCAATTAGAGCATTATTATCTCGTTTTAAATTATTAACACGCTACTCACCCCACGTTTTAATTAAACATACTCGCGGATTATTTAAAATTAAAATAGTGCCGCATCGCACACACGTGGGCGACAAATCCAATCGCAGCGACATACGTTGGTGTTTATGTCACGGCACGATTACGTTACCGTCGTTTTGCGTTAGCTTTATAAATAATTTCGAGAAGCTTATACCTAAGGACAATAACTAAGGAAAATACAAAGTCGGCGGTCAAAACGGCAGTTGTCGGAATTACGAGTAATCCTAATGAAACTGTATTGTAGTGTTGATATTTTGCAGTGCAAAGTCCGCTAGTGAGCCAACAGTAGAATTGTTTATGACACGCGAGCCCTTACTTTCCACAAAAATCAAAAGTACACTTTACCTCAGTAAAAAATCAAAGCGAGTAGCGCAAAGGAAAAAGAAACGTTGAGGAAGATATTCATATTTTGTATATGCAAATGGCGACGTGAGATACGACATCTCTGCGTCGTGCGGAAGAGTAGAACAAGAAGGAGACTTAAACG